CACGCGGGTGCGGGCTAACTTCCACACCGGCTCTGCTCCAGCCGTTCCCAGCCGGCTGTGAGGTCAGGCTTCCCCCGCTCCGGTCCTCCGCAGCGCTCGCTCCGCCTGCGCGGCGAGTACCGGCGTGCTCCAAAACGGAGGCTGTTCCCAACTCTGTCGGGTTCGGGTGCTCCCAGCTCACCGGGGAGCAAACACCTCTTTACTGCTGCTGCTTCTGTCCGGCGCGGGAGCCTTTCGGAGCCTGCGCCGGCCGTACGCCGTCTCGCCGAGGGCGTGAAGGTTCTGGCAGCTCCCCGGAGTTCGACGCGCGGATATTAGCCGTGCTTTTGAAGGAAACTGGGCTGGCCCGACGTCTCGGGCTGCTGCTGCTGCTTTGGGGGCACGCGCCTCGGGTCACGGGGAGGAGCGGGAGTCCGTGCCTCCCGTGCCCAGCTCTGTGAAACGCTGGGGCCGGGCGGCCTCCTGTATCCCCGGCCTCTCCCGCGGTGCCCGCCGGGGGAACGGGCCGGTTAATTTGGGGCGCTACGGGCTCCGGCCTTCCTCGCGTTCCCCTTTCTCAGGAAACACTAGGTAACGGAGGGAGCGGCGAGTTAGCGTTAAGGGGAATGGGATTTGCTTTGCTCAGCACTTTATCCTACGGATCCTGCCTCTGTCCCTGTAAGTTATTTATAAGGAAATATTACTAACGGACTAGAACAAGGCAAACGCTTGTGGGGTTTGATGGAAACAATTCCCTGTCTGTGGCTAATTACAGTAATAAAATTTGATGAATTGCACGCGGGGTCACGGCCGTAGTTGCTTTCGGGGCATCCAGCTGACGCGCTCTATCGATCTTTTTGTGCCCTCCTGGCATCCTTCCACCAGCCTCCTCTTGATTTTTGTCGATTCAAGCCTTTCGCCCTCTCGCGGGACTGTCTCCTTCAGACTCGTCTTTCCTGCTTGCTTGTTTTCGTCTTTCCTAAGGGGCCCGTTTGCGTGGGGCTCTTCCGCATCAGCCCGTCCTTCCCCCTCCTCTGGCACCGTCCCGCATTTTCCCTCCCCAGCCGGGAAGTAGATGGTCTAAGGAACGGCGCCGGTAGCGTTGGAAGGAAGAGAACAAGATGCGATTACTAGAAAAAACAACTTTATTACAACGGTTATTGCTTATTAAATATCTCAGGACTCGTTCTCGGTATTTCTGCCCTCCCCGTGCTCCTCGCGTCCGCGCTTTGCTTTATACGTCTGCCCAAATCTCGCAACCGTCCCACGCGGACGCAGCCAAGCGCGCCTCTCCGCAGCTTCCCCCCCCCCCACCCCCCCCCGGGAACCCGGCAGACGCGGGTCTCGCAGTCTTTCTCGCGAAGCTCAGCGCCCCGCTATCGGAGCGCCTGGCAGACAGCAGCCCATTTCGCTTTCGGCCCGGCCTGGGCGGGAGGAGGAGCGTGGTTATCCCGGTTTTGAGAGACGGGGAAGCCGGCAAACCCCCTCCCGACGGCCCCGAGCGCGGCTGCTCTGCTCTCAGTGCAGGTATGAAGCCTGCTGCAACCCAGCTGCCTCTCAGACTCATACAAATAGCTTAAAAAACAACCACCCCCACCTCCCGCTCTCCCACGAGGCTCAAAAGCGAGAAGCGGCTTCCTCGGAAAGGTGCTCGGGTACCGGGGCGCAGCCGAAGCCGGGCTA